TTTCGAAATATTTGTTTGAATTTTCCACTTTGATATAAGATATTGAATAACATTCTGAATCATCGTTGAATGGGTTGTTGTGATGGAATACAGAACGTTTGAAGACATAAATTTAACATCAGTCCTAACTATCTATTCATGACATATGTCGTGGATGAGGTATGACATGCTTACTCTTCCTACAACACTTGATACCATTGCTCATTTTAGGATTTCACATAGCTAATAAACATTAAATTGTTCTATTTTTGTGTTATAATTTTGAATCTTGTTGCGGATCAACAATGTATTATTGATATTACCTTATTATAAGCTTTATATAGAGGGGGTGGGTGGGGCTGCAATTTTAAGGCCCGTCTGACTTGGGGAAAGCCCCCACATTTATGGTTAGATTTTCGAAAAATACATTTTTCATGCATAGAACAATATTTCTGGTAAGTTTCAGCCATGTAACTAATGACCATATAAAAAGTCCCACTTTTAGGGCGTGGCCAGGTGGGCTTTAGGACGATCTGACTTGAGGAAAGCCCCAACATTTTTGGTTAGATTTTTGAAAAATATGTTTTCCAAGTATGGATCTTTGTTTCTGGTAAGTTTCAGCAATGTAACTGATGACCATATAAAAAGTCCCATTTTTAGGGTGTGGTCGGACATACTTTAGAGCGATCTGACTTGGGGAAAGCTCCCAAATTTTTGGTTAGATTTTTGAAAATTGTATTTACCAAGTGTGGATCTTTGTTTCTGGTAGGTTTCAGCCATGTAACTTATGACCATATAAAAAGCCCCATTTTTAGGGTGTGGTCGGACATACTTTAGAGCGATCTGACTTGGGGAAAGCCCCCAAATTTTTGGTTAGATTTTTGAGAATTGTATTTACCAAGTGTGGATCTTTGTTTCTGGTAAGTTTCAGCCATGTAACTTATGACCATATTATTAGCCCCGTGAGGCGATATTGGGCGTGGTCTGACTTGGGGAAAGCCCCGGAAATTTTGGTTAGATTTGTGAAATATTTACTCCGACTATGGATACCATTGTCCCTACAAAGTTTCAGCCATGTAACTTATGACCTAATTTTAGGCCCCCTGGGGCCTACTTTAAGGTGCTGCTGTGGCTATACGCCCCAGCTGTGCCCGATCTGACCAACTGATTTTTACTCGTACGGACATCTGCTACGAATTTGGGTGTTCAAACCTTTTGTAACTGATGACCATATTATTTTGTCATTAGCTCCTGGACTAGAGAGAGAGAGAGGAGAGAGAGAGATGGAGTTTAACCTCCACTCAGCACAAACTAGGTCATTTTGGGACTAACATATGATTAATTTTGTTTCAATAATTCACTTGCGCGTAGGGGTCTTTAGCAGGAGAAAACCCTACTCCTTGTCCGGTACAACTGGGGAATCGAAACCACACCAGTTGAATCAAAACCACACCAGTTGACTCAATGTCAGACCTTATGATACAGCGCACACGTGCTAACCATTCGGCCATCCAAAGCCCCCATAAATAATTTTCAGAATGCTACTTTAAAAGTGAATCAATGATAAATCACTAATAAATCTGTTTTTAGCTTCAGAGAGCAAACAACATAATCCATGATATTTTCAACTAGGAAGTGCTTCATTTACAAATTATAAGGGGTTTATTCTTAATGACGTCAAATTATAACTAAGCAACATAGAATAATAATATCAATTTTCATTATATTAGAAAATACTTCAACTGCAATAGTTTTACTCATCAACTCAGTCATTCCAATCCTTACAGATAAATTTATCTAGGTAGTTCTTTAAAATTTGTACATATTTTAATTGCATGCAAAATAAACTAGCAAGATCCGGACTAACATATGGTTCAATTTTATTTAAATACTTCGCTTGCGCGTAGGCGTCTTTGGCAGTGGGAGGAAACTGGAGAACCCTGAGAAAACCAATGTGGTTGGGCAGGCGACCCAACTCCTTGTTATGTACAACCAGGGAATCGAAACCACGTCAGTTGACTCAATGACAGACCTTATGAGTATACGTGCTAACCATTCGGCCACCCCCCGGTTTAAAGCAAAATTTTGATAGATTAATTAGTTTGAATATGTTTTTAGTCTACATATATCATCAAATCACCCAGTTTGTATGCGGGAATGTATCTTTAAAGTCCCAATGTGTCGAGTTAGTGCTATAGACTCACATGCAAACAACACCACTGTGAAAGATGAATCTCTAATAGGAATATTAATCCCAAAATGGTTCAGTTCTGTTTAGTATTTACAAAGATGTGCGGAATTGAAATTTTCATCGATCTATGCAGCATTTGACATTTAGCGATATAATGCGGATGACCAATTGAGTCTATAATACTAAGTGTTCGGTGCAATATCAATCAGAGGACATATTAGCATGGATTAAGCTGTGAAAAATTTATATTTTAGCGGAAAATACCAAATGGCGCATCAGGATTTTAGCAGATAATAATGATGGTTTACTGGTTAAGCCACCTGTTAATTATGAGACAAAATAATCATCAGCTTAATACAAAATATCGTGTTAATTAACATTACGAGGACTGTAAGTCCTAATCAATTACATTAATCATCTCTTTACTGATAATAACAAAAAGAAGATTCAGTCATCGACAAGATCAGATATCATTAAGAAAGATAGGTTGCCAGGCAACGAAACATACGCCCACAGCAGCTAACTTGTACAGGGAGTCAACGGTTGTCTCATATTTTTTCTTTTGTCAGAAATGTAAAAAACATTTACAACACACTAAAATCTGATTACGAATAACAACCCATTTGGCTTGTAGTTCTGCCCTAAACATTTGATATTAATAGCCATAATCATCAGAAATTGTTGAAAATGGAAAGGCTTCTTTGTCTCATGACCTTAAACACTGTATAAATATAAAGTCAATCAGACATTAACTTTGGCCTCTAGAGCGTCCACAAGCAATTGATCAAGGGCCAAAACTCTGGCAGTACAGTAGAATCTGTATGAGCAGCAACTCCTATTCAGCGACATCTCCTTGTAAGCGGTCACGATAAATTCCCCCCGTAAAAATTCTGTTGTTTCATCTCTTTATTCAACGGTCACTCCTCTAATGCGGCCAGCGGTCACTATTTTACTAATAAATTCAACAAAACATCGTCCATTCAACGGCCATTGTTGAATGATACCATCTTGTTGTTCTTTGTAACATGCCCGCTAATCCCGTGAGTAGTAGTTAATTAACTGGACCCCCACTGATTAGGTAAAAAGAAATGTAAAAATAACAATCAACCCGGGATTATGTGTTAATTAACCTTTTGTTTTATTAAACGACTAACCTGATCATTGTTTTCACATGTAACGATCACACATTATTTGATACTGATTGAATAAAATAAAAGTACCAAGTTTTGTCACGATCATCTATATATCTCTTTTCCATTGCCACTTTGTTGTTAAACAGACGTTTTAAAGCCTCCTATAATATTACATACAGAGTTACACCCCCTGTAAATAGGTGATAAAATCAGCGATGGTTTTTTGTTCATGTGCTTTTTTGATAAAATAAAATTAATTCATCGATGGATGGATGGTAGCGACGACAATATAAGACCACATTTCAATGTGGGCATATAAAAATATGGTTTAAAAACACAAGAAACCCAGGAACATGTTGTGGAAGCTACCTGACGGACATACGATCTATTGTGTTATTTGTAATCAACAATTAAATACTAGTAATAAGATATTGCATAATGTTTCCATAGTAACACAATAATTATTTAAATGCGAATTATTGGCAAAACAAGCCAGATCATACACATAATATATCTAAAGATGGACAAATTTAGATGACAACATAATATAATGTGGACGTATCAAAATGTAATGAACATTGAGCTAGAAGTATTTGAAATGGTGAATATATCTGCTATAATAGAAACCGGATCATTAGCCATTAGTAAAACGAACTTACGAAATAACAATCTTTTAAGATATCCATTTAAACAAAAGCAGGGAATAACAATCATGGCTGGATTTAAGTTTATTTTACTGAATAGTTGACACTGTTAAAAATGTGAAGTAAATAATGAACATAAACAAAGAAGTTAAAATGAACCACTGTCAGACTTATGTCACAGCTTTTCTAGAAACATTCATAGTGACATATTCTTATATTTAATTATATAACATATACAGATATCATAATATTCAAAACAAAACATACCCCCACAGCCCTACTTTATCTGAGCAGCCCATTTAGTTCTTCGATTTTTTTTACCTAAATAACAATAGATTTCCAGGTAGTGAATACAAGAAAATATGACTTAAATTATTACCAGTACATATTGTATAAATTGTTTTCTAAACTGACTTTGCCATGAACATATGTACAAACAAGAGATCAAAGGCCCTTAATCAAATAAGTATTAGACTGTATATTTTTGTGATTGATAGTAAATTATTGTATCTATATTATCGTCCCATGTGTAAATCTTCAACTTTAGCCTTTAATAAGTTGGAACATCCACTGAAATATAGAATTTTTACAATTACTGAATAACCATAACCACAAAACTTAACAATGCCTTACAATGTACGAACCTTGTAATTTGATTATAGGCTATATTTGGACTATAAACATATTTAAACTAATTTATCTATCACAAGTTTGCATCAAATCGCTAGGAATTACCCCAAAGTCTAAAAATCTATTTTAAGCCACCTTGTTTGTCATGTAACATGATTGATGACCGACCCATTTACAGCTTGATTTTGTTGTTACTCGCTGTCCATTTATCATAAATATCGAAGCCTAAGTAAATTCTTCTTTTTCTGCCGTTTAATCACAAAGTCTGCTGTACATTTAAGTCACTGTTCTTACAACTGCTAGCTACTGTCATATTGTGGTTTATTCTATATCACTGTGGGCTGAAACCTTATGTTTGGGTTGACACAAGTTGTCTCCCTTATTTTGTAGTTCTTCTGCTTTTTTGATTAATAAAGAAAGAGATTGGAATTCTAACATGGAGAATGCTTGTTTTTCTTTTTCACCCACATGTAACTGTGTAACACCCCTGGATCCAAGGATCCAAATATAACATTACATAACAAGTAATTCCTATGCCAATCAAAAAGACAGCCAGGCAACAGCCTGTCTTTTAGGACTACCCTCACATTTTTTGTCCAGTGTGTGTGCACTCTAAGTGTGTTTTCGGGGAAACCAGTAGTTTTCCAATAAGATAGCATGTCTCTAATTTCCATAATATATAATATATACCAGAATTGACGTACTTTTATTGGAAATGGGCTACCCTTTTGTGGGAATGTAGCTTTAATTGCAGTACAGACATAAAACCTAAAATATTCTAACAATTATAAATAATATTTCAGTAAACTGTTTAATATGTTTTGTTTAGCAATACTTACTTTTGATTTTTTCTTACTTTATAGAATTCTTCCACATAATCGGATCTTCCAAGGAGTTCCACAAAGTCTTCATCATGAGTTATAACTACTAACTGAAAATTTCTTTGTCCTGATCGACTCTTGATAATTCTAACAAATAAATCAAGAATGACTATGGAATGAAATACATAAACATGCATCATAATATATTATTATCTATGTCCTTAAATTGGAAATGAAATGGGGTTTAACATCCTACTGTTCTATTGAATATGGACGTACACTATACAGTGTGCTATGAGGAAAATTTTGCTCAAACAGAGGCACTACAGCCTACTCTTGTATTGAAAATTCCAACTTTCAAGGGTTCTTTTACATACACTACAATGTGTAAACAGTACCTCGGTTTTTCGTCCCATCCAAACGACTACATATTGTTCCTTGCCAGGCCCTCTGTAATGCACCACGGACAAGAGAGAGAGAGAGAAATGGGGTGTAACGTCCACTCGACATATGGTTCAACTTTATTTCAATAATTCGCTTGCGCATAGGGTTCTTTAGCAGTGGGAGGAAACTGGAGGACCCGGAGAAAACCCATGAGGTTGGACACCACGGACAAGGTCAACACAGGACCTCCCAGTTAGCGGGGACAATATATGACGACTGCAAAACCTGAATTGTGTAATTAATGAGACTAACTAACAATAGATGTAAGTATTACTCACTCAACTAGAGCATATGCCAGTCCTTCTATATTTTCACGATCTAAATTAGTTGTCGGTTCATCTAAAGCTAAAATACCACAATTTACACAAAATGTTTCAGCTAACGCAAGACGAATTATTAAGGATGCTAATACCTGTAATACAAAAATACATATCTGAGATGATGAGTTTTAAGAATTTGACTTCATGTAATAAACTTGTACTTGCATCCTGATGACGTATTCACATGCTGATTGGTGAAATAAGCATGTACACTTGTATGCTGATTGATAAAATGGATGCATGCTCACATTGGATTATTGATCAATTACAAAAGAGAACAAATTGTGTTGGAATTTATTCTATTTTAAGTATGTTTCAGGAAATGTTCTCTCCGGTGACTTTCCGATCTCAATGGGAGAAGTGCCAAACTGCAGATGGCCAGTAGAATGTGCAACTTTGAGAGGTATTTAGTAACACACTAAACTTGTATATGGAATCACAATTATTGTGTATTAACATGCAACATTTTGACAATTATTCTCTCGTCTTTATCAAGCAAATGATAACATATAGGTTCGTGGGGTTTAATGTCTGCTTCCACCTACATTTTGTATATCTAGGTTGTCGTTCTTCTTAGGGTTGAACGTCTGCTCCCACCTACATCTAGGTTGTCGCTGTTCTTCTTAGGGTTTAACGTCAGCTTCCACTATGGGTCATATCACAGACAAGTCTTATTTTTACTATATTTAGCACATGCATAGGGTTTTTTCCTGTGGGAGGAAACCAGAGTAAACCCACAAAGGTTGAGAAGGTGCCCTTATCTCCAAGGCACATACACTCACACCAGGGTTCATTAACCATAGGACCTGGTTGTGCTGCTTGATCTGGATGCTTTCAACAAGTTTTCTGGTCCTCTTATGTACATGTGTTGATTGGTGTTAAGGAGTTCAAGTTCAAACCATGGCATCTTGTATCTCAGATGTTACTTGATTCATATTTCTAAAGGTCTCTTGGTTTTCCCAAATTTGTCTAATTCTTGGGAGTCCTCGATTTAGTTATTGTTATTTCATATATATTATTTAAAGTAGAATGGTTGTTCTTACCTTTTGTCCAGCACTACATCTGCCTCTCATATCTAGTGCTGCATCACCTTTGATCATAACGACCCGATAATTATAATTACGTCTAGTTTTCATCTGGGCACCATCATCATCATCGGATCGAATTTCTATCGTCTCTATATCTAAAACAAAAAGGGACATAGCGTTGACAAGCAATAAAAATACATCCACTAGCAGCTTTGTTTTATGAGAGATAATGAGAGATTGGGTTTAACGCCCACTTGACACATACTAGGTCATTTCGGGAATAACATGGTTCAATTTTATTTCAATAATTCGCTTGCATTACAGGATCTATAGCTGTGTGAGGAAACCAGAGGACCCGGGGAAAAACCATGAGGCTTGAAGGTAACCATACTCCTTGTCACATACAAGCGAGGAATCAAAACCAAGCCACTTAACTTAAGAATTGGAATGTGTGCATGATGAATCCCAGCAAGGTTTTACAGTAAAATCTCAAAAACATTCAATACATGAACTCTGACCAGTAGAGGGGCAATTTAGATAGACTTTCTCGTTTTTTACAATCATAGCAATCTCAGCAAGTTTGGTAAAAATATTTTCAAAAACTCGGACTGTAGAGCCTTTTAAAATGTTTTGTTGAAAGGGGCAATAACTGCATAACACTTCAAATGTTGTTCACTCGGTCACAATCAGAAAAAAATACAGATCTATATTGTGTTTTGTTTTAGAATACTTGCGATGGCTGCCACTATTTGAAGATCTGGCCGGTTGTAGTGAAATAATAATAATAATAATAATAATGTACATTTATATAGCGCTTAATCCATCCATGAGCATGCTCTAAGCGCTGTAAGTTAATAGCTACTGTAGATAATACATCGTGAACATATGCGTCTTAAGTCTAGATCGAAATTGAGCAACTGTTTCTGAACACTTTATTTTGTCAGGTAAGTCATTCCATAGTCGTGGACCATATACACTGAAGGCTTTATCACCAAAAGATTTTAATTTAGTTGAAGGTACAGCAAGTGATAGATTATTCTGTGAACAGAGTGGTCGGTTTGGTACATAAGGCTGCATAAGATCTGTGATATAGGATGGAGCCGAATCATGCCGAGACTTGTAGACCAGTGTTAAGATTTTAAAGTTTATACGAGCCTCTATTGGTAACCAGTGAAGCGATTTAAGGACAGATGTTATATGTTGACGTTTGGCTGTTCTTGTGATGATTCTGGCACAGTTGTTCTGAATTATTTGAAGTCGCTTTAATAATAAAGATTGTGCCAGGGGTCATACAAGATTAGTCAATCGATTAACCAATCAGGGCCAGTGTGTATATTTGGAAATACCACTTTTGCTTTAGTGAATGTCTAGTCACAGTTCCTCATCCTACATGACAAAAACTCAACTCAACAGAGAGGTAGAGAAATGGGGTTTAAAGCCCACTTGACACAAACTAGGTCATTTCAGGACTAACACATGGTTCAATTTTATTTCAATACTTCATGTGCGTGCAGTGGGAGGAAACCAGAGAACCCGGAGAAAACCCACAAGGTTGGACAAGCAACCCTACTCCTTGTCATGTACAAGCAGAGAATTAAAACCACACAACTTGACTCATTGACAGACCTTGTGATTTAACTGGTGCCGGTTAACCATTCAACCACCCAACCCCCCTCGACTCAACAGACAATTTGATTGGCTAATCCCTCACATCAACCAAAACGCAGGTTATTCAACAAGTTTTCCAGATCCTAGTGTAGTGATGCGAAATTTTGAATTATAAAATACAAAATGAAATGGGATCTGTGTTTTAATCAGATTGACCAGGCCAATAAACCCAGTCAGTTTGTATGAAAAATCATCCTACCATCACTTGCCCAAATCACATATATAAAGAGTATACAGACAGAATGATGTATGAGGGGGTTGACATAAAAATATCAAATAAACTTTAAAGGAGCTAAATCACTTATATTTTAGACCTAGAAATTGACACAAATGAGTCGCAATTTATACAATAATGTAATATGAATGTATATAAACTGATTACATTCAATCGTTTCCGTTTTTACTCTTAATTTCAAATCAGTTATGTTCGGTGAAATACGCCAGAAGTTTCAATCGAATTTCAATCTCTAGCATCTGGTTAATACAGTCTACACCGATAGTATTTATTGCACATGCTCTCGAGATAAGAATGTGATGTCACCGTTTGACACGACTTGAGGAATATGTCTAGCCTTGTTCTTCGAGTACCTTGTTACAAATGGCGCTGAAACGCATTATGGTATTCGATTCATGTACCAATGGTAAAATGTTTATTTTGTCTTAAATATTTGATATCAGAAGCCCATCTTTTCCCGGTAAGATCACATTATCAATGTTGATTTAAATTGACAAATAATTCGTGTTTTCAATGTCAAAGACTTTGGATGATATCGAGTTAGAGACATAGCTACTTTAAAATAAACTCTTCAAATCAATATAGAATGTGACTAATGATGAACAATAACCATGTAGAAAATTATAATCAGGAAAAAAACAAATAAATCAATATATCATCTGATATACCTTCCTCATTCTGGTAAAAATAAATCAAAACATTTAATTATAAAGCAGCTTAAGGGCCTTAGTTTCTATTATTTCACATGGCTGACGAATATATAACAAGCATTGATTAGGAAACGAATCGTTGTAAATTTGATGCTCATTATCAAAATGGACACCAGTACAAATTACATGAAATTGGCTGATAGATTAAATGATAACCTGGTTACACGGTATTACATTACATTATTGTCAACAAACTATTGCACTGCATAATACACGAAAAGTTAATTACAGTATAACGGTGATACATTCGAACAGGTTTTTTTTGGATCGGATAATAATTGTGACCTCTAGAGGTACCACAACCTAAAAATGTGATTGTTCGTACAATCAGGGGCCATAATCCAGGAAGTTACGATCAGATATGTGCGAATATCAACAGGAACCAAGATCTTTGGGTTATAAACATGCATATCAAGTTTCATCAAAAGTGACCTTGAGTGTCCACAAGCCAAAAATGTGATTTTTCGTACACTCAGGGGCTATAATCTATTAAGTTATGGTCCAATACATACCAATATCGAAAGGAACCAAGATCTTTGGAAGATAGACCTATATTTCAAGTTTCGTCTAAATTGAATAAAAATTGTGACCTGTAGAATGTCTACAAAAATTTTTTGGACAGACATCCGGATGGACAGGGGCGACGGCATAATACGTCCACATGAAAATGTAGTCGTATAAAAATAGATAATGCAAAATGAATATACCAGTATTAAAAATTTCACTAAAATTACTTTATTTTGATCATAGTTATCAATGGCTGTAATTTTGACAAGATGTGTGCATTGATCTTAATCACTGTACTGGTCATTTGAGTCTTAGCCTCACCTCTTTTTTAAATTAAATCATTAAAATCAGAGCCATCCGATGGCATCAAGAGTTCATACTAGATTTTATATACACATTATGGCAAGTTCACATCAATCTGGTTAAAATTATTCGACATATTACCCTTAAGCATCAGACACCCAAAAACACTTTTCAATTTTTCAATTGCAGCCTTAATCCGGTTGATTGGCTGGGGATGTCACAGGGACTACACATAGTTATATACATTATCTATCACTGTCTATAAGCACAGTAAGCACAGAAATACGAATGGTGCCATTCACTTGTCTATATAATCGTTATTAGCTATATGTCAATAATAATAACAATTTCTATACACAAAGAACAACGTTTGTCACAACCCCATTTGAAATTCAAAGCCAATCAATGCTGAGAATCTTATTACCATGTAAGGTTAAATTTGGCGCGAAAATTGCATGGTATTCATGGCCATGAATATCAAATACATCTGATACCAATTGGTGAGTGATAAATAGTCATGGACACTTGACATGCTTTGAGAGTATGTTCACAGATGAAGAATTTATCGCCTCAACAGAACCACTGAGCTGCACATGTGACACGCAGTAGCGCCATACACGAGGGAGGGGTTCATTGTCAAATTTGACACTTCAAGGAAGGGTTGATGAAAACTGCCGCTTGCTGGTTTATCCTATCCATGTTTGCTTTCCTATCGGTTCTTGCATAAGATTTACTGTTTAGCGTATCTTTGCTTTAGTGTGTTATGTTTAATTTGATCGGGAGACGTGTTCGTCGACGTCAACGTCAACAGACAACACTGCAAGAATTTGCCGTGACACTGCAAGAGGAGTGGGTCAGATTGCCCCAAATTGTGATTGGACGGTTGATAAGGAGCATGCCACGAAGAATATCTGAATGTCTAAGGATTGGTGTAACAATTACTCATTATTAAGACAAAAATCAAAAACGTCCATTTTCACTTTTGACAATGTATCTCTTTGCGAGTGAAATGGGGCGGGCAGATTAGTCGCCCATATGAACTGTTTATGTTCATGTGTAGGCAATTGGGCTGTTATTAACATACACTGGTTACCTCTAATAAAAACAGCAGTGCATTTCCGCAGTTTTGTATTGTTTCTGAATATTCCCTACTTTTTTTTGAAGAGTATATAATTATTACTTGAAACCATTTCACTCTATAAAAGCCCATAATCAATTATTTCTATTGTTTTCATAGATTTTTATGTAGTGACATTGATAAAAATTTCACACCAATCTTGTTGTTTTAATCGGAAGTCAATTATTGTTGGTTTACTTTTGGCTTATTCTTATTAAAATGACACAGGGAATATGGCTACAGTGACTGTCTTTGTTATGATATTATAAAACAAATTCTAAATTGGATCTTAAATTAAAATAAATTACAAAACAAATTATTCTGTTGTCAATTGTTTTATTTAATTAGGGGGTTAAGGAATCAGTCAGGCATTAATGAATACACACGCCGGCTGTATATAGGTATTTAAGGAATAAAAATTCCTACATCTGAGGGGATTAAAATAATTTTCGATAATTGGCAAAGTCGTTTTTACGGAAGATCTATATTTGCGACTTTGAGTCAAGATAGCTGAATTAATTCTAATCAGATTGGTGTTAACTTGCCGTAAAAAGCATAGAGTAATCACTGGCTATAAGTACATACAATTTAGTTTTCTTATCTACTGTGCTCAAAGAAAGACCTGCAATAGGCAGATTTACCTTTTACATAATGCCTGTTTAAACCAAAGATAATTTTCCAGATATAAAATAATCCATAATGTTCATCATCATTATAATCTCAATATCTACCTATTAGAAACTCGTAACCTGATGAGCTTACAGTTTGCAATGAGAAATCAACGTTCATTTTATGTCCAACATCAGAAGAGAAACAATTACTATAATTAGTGGATCGAAATGGAACTTTATAGAAATCAAAGTAATTTCAACACATCAGGATTTAGAGATAAAATAGAAAATGTGCAAATCTCAATAAAAGCATTGACAGGTGTTATTGGATTAACCACTGCTGTATTAAATGCTGTGACCTGGGTAGCAATATTCAAAACTAAATCTATTATACCACGTTTAAAAGTTTGTTATTCAGGATTTGTTGTTTCTGGTATATTCATTGGAACCACTGGCATGCAAATAAGTCTGATGCCATCTGAAATTCTGAATAGAGACAGTTTCTGCATTTACCGTGTTACCTATGGATTAACATCTCTAT